GCTCAGGTTTAAGTTTCCATCCCCTTCTTCCTCTCTGTGGATGCAATAAAATAGGCATTTGGAAAACGAGAGCTTTGTAACGGTGGAGAAGGGTGGAAGGGGAAGAAAAGATGATTTTTATACCGTCTGCTTTGACTTACGTACTGCAAAAGTTCTTCGCATTTTAAAAATCGGTGCCTTATTTTTTGCGATGCACGACCAAGAAATGTAAGAACGAACTAAACATTTTTAAGCAATATTTCAGCATTTATTTCTGAATAAGAAAAGATTTGGTCTAGAAATTATCCTGTGTACATGTTACCGTGAAAGACCGAAATTGGAGAATGTCAACATTCACCAAATGCGTTGGTGAAAGATCGAATATTGCACTACATTCTTGTACATTCGGACCCTCACCGGTGTATATTGACAATCACAGATATGCTCTGGTGTCGGTCGAAAAGAGAGGAGTATATGTACATGCTGTCATTGCAAAAGGAAGTGTTCCACAAATAAATGCAGTTGTAAAAGCAAGGACCTCTTGTGCAATTTAAAGTGTAATAATAGTTTCTGTTGTTGCAATAAATAATATTGGAATCACATAATTTATTAAGTTTTTAACTTCTATTATTTTCCTTTCTCATTTTGAATGTACTGTGTGTTTTAAGTTCTTATATTCTTCTTATTTTAAGTCTCAAGTGCGTTTTTTCGAGACTGAATTACGGAGAAGAAAATATAATATTCTTATATGTTCAACATTCACCATTGGCACATGGTGAATGTCGACATTTACCGGTGTAAGTCAGAAATAAGAGTATTTGGAGAATATTTCGGACATACACCAAGCGACTATGTGAATGTTGACATTCACCGGTGAATGTCGACACTCTCCAGATTTCGGTGTTTCACCGTAACATATATATAAAATGTCTGTTATTTGCAAAAGAAATAGTTAACATTATTGTACAAATTTAATTCTTTCTCGCTTGTAGATCCATAGGGCGTTTAAAACTTGGGTACCGTTACGAAGCATAGTGAAATGAGTTCTATAATATGTAGCGCCGAGGTATAGTAAACACGAAAAACTATAAATTCAAGTAAAGTATATACTCGAAACATGAATGAGTTATATAATTGTAATAAATTATGTATACGTAACGGATGTTATGCTGTTTTTTATACAGGTTCCTGCAACTTCGAGAAAACACCTACATTTTGAAAATATTTTACCATCATTTCGAAATTTCCTTCCATGAAGTATTGCGATAACCCAGAGAAATTTAACAGCAAATATTTTATTTCTGAAAAAGTGTTTTCGCAATTCTATCCTTTGATAGCGCATTTTACCTGAAAGTGCAAATTAAATTCCTTAAAAAGACTATGGAAGATTAAAAACAGGTTAATGAAGGTATAGATCCGCATTATATGTGTACTTATATATGTATACGGAAATATTTTGTTTGTGCCAATGTTTGAGACCATCCTATCTGGAAATTTCTATTGTAAAAGTTTAAATTTGTAAAAGATGAATAGAGAAATAGCGTAGCTGGACCACATTCAAATTATCTCCCAGTTATTAGTTCTTTGCTTAATATGTTTGTAGATTGATTTTATGAATAGACGAAACTGGGTGAAATGTCGCATTATCCTTTGGAAGCATAGAAAGGAAAGCACACATGCCAAGTTTTAACACTTAGCAAGTTATTAACAACAAAAAAATATCAGCAAGACTGCAGGACCAACAAGCAGAAACTACATTCTGAAATTCTACTCCAAGAGAAGAATTTATATAACAATTTTAAAACCAAAATTCCTTCTGCCTCTTCTGCATAAACAGCGACTAGTTGAAAATAGCATTACAAAACTCAAAACTTTAGAAAAAAAAAATATCAAGAACCATATAAGCAATGCTTCTTACTTTATCAGAACCACTTTTACTCACCATGGTGTAAAAATTACGTTCGTCAGAGACTATTTTGTACAAGGGCAACAGCAACTTTTCAGTGAAAGCTTTAGAATGAAACCTTCTCGATTATGAAGAGCATTTTTCATACTTAAAGACGATTCTGGTGTCCAATTATTTGCTACATATCTCCCTTTAGGACCACTGGTTATAATTGTTGTTCATCAACAACCCCATGAAGCCCGGATATCTTTTTTCCCCACATTTTAGAACTTTTGCACTTGCTTTATATTGCTTATTATATTTATCTGAAGACCTTTATTCAGCTAAAAATAGTTTGTTTTTGCAAACACTTTATACCTCTGTGAAACATTTGAGTAAATTTATGTAGCCGTTTTGTAAAACTGAGTAATAATATCGATCTTAATAAGTATACATTTCACTACATGAAATTTTTTTCATCAGTATTAGTAATTTTTTTTAAGTTTAGACAGCTCAGAAAATTTAAATTTCGATCATTTTATTAATTTAATAATTCTTATACCTTAAAATTAATCTGATATTGTTTTAAAAATTGTAGAAAATTACCGTCAATATGGAATTTATATCTAAAGATGAATATACAATTTCACATTTTTATAATTTTTCATTCATAACTATGGTGAGAGCCTTTGTGCATTTGACCGCAATGAATAAAGTAAGCATTCATGTGCATCACCCAATTCAAAATATTTTTAAACTACTAATTTCCTAAACTGTTTCCGGTAACACGAAATAAAAAAATGACCGCTACTAAGTAACAATCTCTATTTTAACAAAGTAGCGGATGAGAAAAAAAAACAGAAAAAGATCAAAAACAAATATTTGCGATATTAAAATTAGAAAACCACAATGTTCAATAGAAATAAATACAATTCTCCGAAATTCCAAGCTAACTGAAAACTTTTATTTCATTTTTAAAACCTGTAGAAGAATAAAATCGCCAATTTTGGCGATGAAAGATCTCCGTTAAAATTCTCGATAATAACAAGAATTGACGAAACACATACATGCGAGGAAAAGGGGGGAGGAAATCGATTTTTTCCTTTTATTTCTAGCGAAAAATAAAAATAAGAATGATAAAACCCAAAGTGGGGGATAAAAGGTAGGGGAGAAAGGGTGCAAAAGGATACCCCTCGAGGTATTTATTTCTTTTTTCCCCCACTATTCTCTTCTATCACAGGGAAAAGTATTCTTTCTAATTTGATCGATGAAGGAAGCGGTATTTACCAATTTCCGGAATATTGCCGTGAAAAGCATTAGGTACACCTTCACCCCGCTTCTCATTATTTTAAGGGGATTATTATTATTTCCCAGGTGCTTAAAGGTAAAAGATGCTCCGTTATTAGTAGCTTCAGAAAAAGGTTAAATTTTATTTGGGGAATCGTAGATAAAGTGCTTTAACTTGTAAACGGATTCACACACTCATCAGAAGGTGGGATTCATTCGTCCTGGTTTTGTTGAACTACTATTTAGCATGTATCTCAGCGCAATAGAAAGCCATTACAGAAAAGTTTTTCTGTGAGTTTTCGTATATTTTCAGGCATTAAAAAGGAAAGATTTATCGGATTACCAATCAGTTAGTTCCCTTCCCTAAGCTGTCGAGCCAGAACTCTCATTTCCCCTACTGCTTTTTTGGATAACTTTTATTTTATTAACTCAAAAATAAATACATACTGTCAATCGCTTCTTTATTCAGAAAGGAACCTGCCGATGTTTCCAAAGCTGTTGTAAGTTTGCACGAATGTTGGCAAGAAGCAACATAAGGTCATAGAACTCTAAATCTCTCATTTCTGGCTAAGACTAGAGTGGGAAGTCTGTACGTAGTATAACTGATAATAAATTTCATAAAATGCCAATCTTGAGAGAAGCGACAGATGATTGTTTTGCTAAACTCTGAAATATGTGGACCATACTTTAAGACCACAACGCTTTGAAAGTTGTCATCGCGTTATAAAGAGAGCCCAAGAAACAGAGCTTAAATGGCTCCTCAGCACACTGGAGGCCTCTTAGTGTTTGGTATAAATCATAATTCTAGTCAGAGCACACCAGAGCCCTAAATAAGAAGACTCGACACTTATGCAACGTAACTGAACAACAATTTCAGCAGAAATATGATCTCGGAAATTTATTTTTTATAATAAAATTATATTAAAAACCGATTATAACTTCTTAATGTATGCTTCTCTTTCCTTGGGAAACAAACACTTGGATAGAGGTCGAGACTTTTAAGGAAACAGAAGTCCCCACCCACACATCAAAGGATTATCCTCCGGAAAGTGCAATGAATTTATGACAGTTTCCTTCGAACGCTAGTGTCTTCCTGTAGAAAAGAGCACTTGCAGACTTTTTGGAACGATGTAACAAAGATGGGGGAATGAAAATTGCCACTTGTTACTTTTTTGTTCAGCTAACCCTCCGATTTGGTGAAAATTTATTCCCCTGTCATATTCCGCTTGACAGCTAAAAGTATATTGAGAGGAGATCGTGGTCAGAAAATATTGGACTCTTCTCTCTCTCTCTCTCTCTTTTTTAATACTTATAGGTCATCAGTTAAAATTTTCTCCATATTCTCTTACTGTTTAATAGCATTCTCTATATTTTCATTAGTGACGCATTAACCATCTTAACGTTTTTTATTAGCGTGCTGGAAAAAGAATAGTCTTCATTTCTACCATCCCTTGACATTTTATTCAGAGCTTAAATTGAACAGGAGACCGGTTGAGCTATTCTTATTTTTTGTGTGAAATGGTAATTGCAGCCGAAGCCTTAAATAAGTCGAGGTCCAGTACTGAATTTTAATATTTAATTATTTACCATTTATTAACTTATACTTTTATTTATCACTTTACAGTTTATTAAATTTTAATATTATTTTTAAAATATTCTAATTATTAATTATTTAATTTTAATAACTGATTATTTAATTGTTTAATTATTCACCATTTTATTTATTTATTCATTTTTATTCTACCTTCCTGACAGCCTTCCATAGGGCTCCGGCACTTCTAATTTTTAGAAATTAAGCCCTGCCTAGCAATGAAATAATGCAATGGAAAAGTATCAGAATGCAGCTTACGTGGTTGGAAATTCTTCCTCCTCGAAATCATCTGCTGCTTCCACATCCACTGCATCACGAGCGTCCGGCAGAAATAGAACAGGACTGGAATGTCCGGCTGCCATCCAGCCTGAAAGAGTACAAAAAAAAAGGGTTAATTATCTTGCACGATTAAGTAATTTATGGAATTTTCTAAGTGCATTGTTTTAAAGCCCATCGGTAACGACAAGTTGTGTTAAATTTTTAATGAAGGAAATTAATTATTTAATACATAATATAAGACAATACCTGTAAATCATGGAAAGCACCAACTCATCATTGTTAACAACAATGATAACAATTCACTGCATTAAAATACTGAATATTTGGGGCTTTGACGAAATAATTTTTAACACGTTACCCGTTACAAGTTAGGTTTAATGTACGAGTAAAAAATACCAGTCAAGTGGATGTTATATTTTCCTCATAAAATAATATGTAAAAGAGATACGAGGTGTGACACACACACACACACACACACACACACACACAAAAAAAAAAAAAAAAAAAAGACTAAGGTGTGGAGCTTGAAAACAGAGCGGAGTTGGCAATAACTGTTTAAGAGATGTCATGCCCCACACCTCTTCTATCCATGCGGGAAATTTCGAGTTAATCGGCCACGCCAGTGGGGAGTACTGCGTCATTGAGTGAACATGTGGAACTGCATTCTGCCGAAAAAATATCTAATGTAAAAAACCGAACAGCTACTGAAGATCAACTTTCTTGTGAAATTTAAGAAATCCGCCACGGAGGAAACATTTCAAATGATAAACGATTCTTATGGAGATGAAACTTCGTCTCATGCACGTGTGTTCGAATGGCATAAGCGGTGGAAGGGGCAATGTGGAAGATGGTGAACGTGCTGGACGCTCCCTTGGGTGCCCAGCACGTTCATCATGATTGAATGGGTTCCCAGTGATCACACTGTTAATCAGTAGTACTACATTGAAGTACTAAAAAATTAGGGGGAAAAAAAAGGCCATAGTTGTGGAGTGATGGATGACTGTTGCACCAGAACAGTGCACCCGCTCACACGGTCCTATCTGTCAAGCAGTTTCTGACCAGCAAAAACATTACTGTGATGGAGAATCCTCCTTATTCACCTGATGTGGCTCCATACGATTTTTTTCTTTATTTCCTAAAGTTAAATGTTACTTAAAGGGAACCGATTTTACATCAGCTGAAGAGGTTCAGGCAAAAACGGAGAATCTCCTAAAGGGCTTTCCAAAAACCTCGTTCCAGAACTGTTGCCAGCAATGGCAGCACCGAATGCAGAAGTGTCTGAATGCTGAAGGAGACTACTTTGAAGGTGATAATGTCACGGAGAACTGATTCTGTAAGTACAATGATTTATTAGACCAGTCTCGTTTTTTTTTTTTTTTTTTTTTTTTTTTTTTTTTGTCACACCTTGTATTACTATTTGATTAATGTGAAGTAAAGCAGTAATGAACAGCGTCAAAAACTTTTGGACTTTTGGAAGCCTGACAGTTTACAAAGTTTTATAAAAGAAACAATATGACAGTTGGAAACTTTGGACCATAGAATTGGCAATTCGGAAAAGATTCTATTTAATGTACGTGAAAATTGGCCGTCCGTTTTTTACAAAAATATAATATGTTTGATAATCATTTCATCTCCCTTAAATTTGGCCGCCCATGTATGTGCTGTGAACCAACCATCTTGTCCCCTGTAAATCATGCCGTTAGGATCGGCCCTGCGCACCAAAAAAAAGGTCCATTTCGCACACCCGGAAATTTTGTATTTCTCATTTTACACATTTCCTTGATTCCAAGCTAAAAAATATTCCAAAAATGAAAAATGAATACATATATTGTTCATACACTTTTTTTTTAAAAGGATTTAAAAAAAAACCTTATCTACTATACTCTCTCTTTCTTAAAAAAAAGCTGAAAGCTTTCAGATTTTATATTACGCCCAGAATGGCGTTTTTTTTTTTTTTTTTTTTCATTTGCATACACATACACGTTCCGAGATCATTTGGGTTAATGTTCCTTTCGACTAAAAATATTTAAAAACACCCAAACTTTAGACAGTGATGAGCGCTAAAAACAAAAAGTACTTTTTTTTTTGGTACAATGTTGCCATTGCTCGTTTTGAAATCATTGAGTTCGTTAGTCGAAAATTCGTTAAAGTTCTACAAAATGTCAAATACATAATAAAATATTTAAGAACAGCATATCTTTAGAACTTCCGATACTAGGTTCGCGCGCTACAGGTAAAAATGTTTTTTTCCCAATACAGTGTTGCCATTGCTCGCTTTGAAATCATGGAGTTTGTTAAACAAAAATTCGTTAACGTTTTGCAAAATATGCAATACATAATGAAACAAATTCGAAATTTCGAAATTCGTGCTTTTAGATATCCATATTCGGATGGAGAACTACATTATTCAAAATTTGATGGCTCTAGGTACCGTTGTTTCTTCATAGTTGTTTCTTAAAACATGCATACGTTCATGCAAATTATTCTATTTAATTTCTTTAAATATAATACAGGACAATAATATTTGGTGGCAACAATGTGAAAAGTGATACAGACTTTTAAAGTGTCAACCCAAAACCCCGTTTTGATACTAATAGCTAATAGCTCTTCTGGGCGCTTTCAAATAATAATAATAATAATAAATAAATAAATAAATAACGTGGTATTTTGGTTGTAAGCTGAAGTTAATTTTCATTTGAGCGAAAATGCTAATTAAATGTTCAGAGTGTGCTTGTAACTGTCATCCTTTCTAAATCATGAAGAATAAAGAAGATTTGGGTTAACACCAAGCGAGGGGGACGGCAGACGAGAAGCAGAACGAACAGTGGCTATTTACGAGGCAACAACTTCTACAGTCTTTCATGGTAGTGGCAGTATCTAGCAGCCCAGGTAGACTTAAGCCCAAAAAGACAGAAGAAAGAAATAGGCTTTAAATCAGCAAAGAAGTGACACATTTCATTTTCTCTTTGCAGTGCCACACACGTAGAACATGGATAGAAAGAAAAACACAATAATAGGGCGAGAAAAAAATTGTTCCGGAACTAAATAAAAATTAAAATAATAAAAAAAGGCCCGCCACCATTACACCAATTCTTCACTTCTACGAGACACCCAGATTTATAGCCAAAAAGAAAAAAAAAGTATTACTTAGAAACCCTAGCGAAAAGTAGCTCTGCGATAATATTTCATCCATGAGACTTTTTCGATTATATTTTTCCCTCAGCAATTCCTGGAAGTTAGGCACAAAGGCTGGATGCGCAACACTAATCATGACGGATGGCAGGAAAGAATCCAAAAAGTAATACGTATAGCGTTTCAAGAATATGTATGTATCCCGACGCAAAGAAAATGGGGAAATGTCACTGTCTCGGCAGAAAAAGAAAATTGAAAGTAGTTTTCCCTACCTGCAAAAACTCTCATTTTGGGGGCCCTAAGAAACAAAATAATTTAGAAGGACATACTCACGAGCATGCAGAAACTGATTCATTTTAAATGAGTCGCTTCGTTATGTTTTGAAATTACAATGCAGAGTAATAACGAACACGTAACCAAACGGAACCAAATGAAAAAAGAAAAGAAAATGGAAAGCGACAGGTGCATCGAATGAAAATCTACTTGAGAATGCAAACGAAAATACCATTCCGAGGAAACGAGGAAATACCGAATGCCTTAAATATAAGAGACCATACTTTTTCCCTTAGAATGCAGTCACCCTCCCTAAGTGCACAACACATTCAAAAACCATAATTAGTTAATTTATTCTTTGCACCCTAACTTCTAAAAACTTACCTGTGCTTTCCTCCAAGTATAGTTTTTGAAGTATCAAATATTCCAATTGTCGAGTTAAGGGTTTGCATCAAGTTTATATACAAAGAGTAATTCAAATGTCCTTGTATTTAAAGAATGATATCGTCTGTGATATCACTTATAATAACAACACCTTATTTACTTCTTGTCAAGCGTATTCATTTATATTCAAATAAAGTAAATTATTTCTTTTTGATTGAGCTGTAAATTTCTTAAATACAGGGTGCTTCATATTGAATGGGACAAAAAGAATAATAGTACAAATTCTGTAATTGATTTATTAAGCCGAAACAAATTAATTCTGAAACTACAATTACACAAGTTTTATTTGGCAACAGCGAGAAATCTTCCGGTTGCGAAATCGCCGATAGAGGCACTGTTTTAATCAAAATGTTGGTATCCATGCAGGAGAAAGAGCACTGTGTTTTGAAATACGCCAAAACATCAGCGTTTATCGTCGTTCAAAGACATTTTCGCACGAAATATGGTAAAGAATCACCGCATCGTCACAACAACGAACGACAGGTGAAACAGTTTCAAGATACTGGTCGCTTGTGTAAGAAAACCAGCACAGGATCAACACCAGCCAAACCCGAAATGGTTGAAAAATTTCGTAAAACAAAAGTCCCACAAAATCAACGCGTTATGCGGGTTTTAAACTAAGTGCGCCTCGTGTACAGATGTGGCTGTGTGTTACGAAAATGTGTACAATTTCGGCCATACACTTTTCAGATGGTGCAGGCGTTAAAATCTTCTGACAAACCGTCGCATAAAGCTTTCAGTGAGAGTTTGCAAGATAAGCTGGAGGTAGATAGTTTCGCAAACAGACTTGTGTCTACGGATGAAGGAACATTTCCCGTTCCTAGCAAAGTTAATCGACATAATTTACGATTTGGGAACACGGAAAATTCACATGGAACTTGAGCATGATTCTCGAAAGGTAAACACTTTCTGCTCAGTTTCTAAGAGTTCTGTTTTTGGCCCTTTTTTCTTCGTGAAAAATTCGCTTATCGGTTAAAATTACCAAGATATGCTAATAGAGTGGTTGGTTCTCAGCTGGAGGAAGCGGTTCCCGGTTTAATCCTAGTATACGGCACACACGAGATTTGGCGACATTAATGATGAGCAGTACACGCATCATTTTGGTGTTGGCGACAATTTTCAAAATAGCGCCAAGCCCGTACCGTATACTAGGATTTTACCACGGCTCCCGGCTTCATTCTGCAACGAGACGGTGCTCCACCGCATTAGCGGAAAAACATACGCCAATTACTTAATGAT